GGGCTCAAGCGAGTCTCCTGCCTCCGCCTCCCAAGTAGCTGGGACCACAGGCGCCCACCACAACGCCCGGCTATTTTTTGGTTGCAGCCGTCGTTGTTTAGGCGGGTCCGAGCTGGGGATTCGAACCCGCTACCTTAGGTGTACGTGGCTGGCGCTACGTACACCTAAGGCGTACGTACACCTAAGGCGTATGTTGAGCTATAGGCGCCGAGCCTCCCCATATTCTTGGGCTACAATTGGGTTGTAGCTTTCATATGAAAGCTATAAATTAGTTTTATAGTAGGGCTGAGTACATTGGATACTTTTTCTTCCATTCTTGAGATACTTTGCTAAGAAGATATTTTTATTTTTAGTGGGGATGGGGGGGTCTCGCTTTTTTTGCTCAGGCTGGTCTCAAACCTGTGAGCTCAAGCTATTCACCCACCTGGGCCTCCCAGAGTGCTAGGATTACAGGCCTGAGCTGCTGGGCCCACTGAAAATGGACTTTTAAATTGCATTTCTTTTTTTCTTTTTCATTTTTTTTTTATTGTTGGGGATTCATTGAGGGTACAAGAAACCAGGTTACCCTGATTGCATTTGTTAGGTAAAGTACCTCTCATAATTGTGTCTTGCCCCCAAAACGTGTGTCACACACCAAGACCCCCACCCTTAAATTGCATTTCTTAACATACTGTCCTCTTGAGTGTCCCCATCCCCGCCTCCGTAGAGACAGAGTCTCACTTTATTGCCCTCAGTGGAGTGTTGTGGCATCACACAGATCACAGCAACCTCCAACTCCTGGGCTTAGGCGATTCTCTTGCCTCAGCCTCCTAAGTAGCTGGGACTATAGGCGCCCATCATAACGCCTGGCTATTTTTTTGTTGCAGTTTTGCCGGGGCCGGGTTTGAACCCACCACCCTATATGGGGCTGGCACCCTATCCACTGAGCCATAGGCGCTGCCCTTCTTGAGTATTCTTTGTGTGTTTCATTTTAATCCCTTTCTTTCTATGTCCTAATGATGAAGTCAAAAAAAGTGAGACCATGTGGTATAAAGTCTGGTAAACTACCAAGTTGTAAGAGTCTCAAGTTGAGGACTGGCAAGACATTTGAATCACTCTACACTTTTGGTTGACTCATTTAAGTTCTCTGGGCCTGCGCTTTATCACACAATGGCAGTGCCCACTCTGTCTTTCAAGGGTGTGTAGAGGGTTTCATGTGAATTCAAGCACCTTATAAATGAAAGGGACGTATTTAGTTTCATATACACAGAACAGAATCCAGAAGGAAACATCACAGTTAGGTTTTTCTTTTTTTCTTTCTTTTTTTTTGAGATAGTGTCACTGTGTCACCCTCGGTAAAGTACCATGGTGTTATAGCTCACAACCTCAAACTCTTTGGCTTAAGCAATTCGCTTACCTTAGCCTCCCGAGTAGCTGGGAGTACAGGTGCCCACCACAGTGCCCAGCTATTTTTTTGTTGTAGTTGTCATTGTTTAGCAGGCCCAGGCTGGGCTCAAACCTGCCAGCCCCGGTGTATGTGGCCACACCTAGCCTTTTTTGTTTTTTAAAGACAGAGTCTTACTCTGTTGTCTTAGGTAGAGTGCAGTGACATCAGCCTAGGTCACAGCATCCTCAAACTCTTGGGTTTCAGCACTCTTCCTGCTTCAGTCTCCCAAATAGCTGGGACTATTGGTGCCCGCCACCATGCAACTGATTTTTTCCTGTTTTTAGTAGAGATGGAGTCTCACTGTTGCTTGGGCTGGCCTAGAACTCCAGAGCTCAAGGGATTCTCCTTCCTCAGCCTCCCTGAGTGCTAGAATTACAGGCATGAGCTACTGGGCCTGGCCCGCAGTTAGATATTAAATACAATTTTTAACATAAGAAGTGGTAGTAAATCATAAACATCCTGTTTTTCATTTGTGTGCCAGGAGAAGATGAAGAAGAAATGGAGCATCAGGAAGATGGTAAAGAGCAGCTTTCAGAAGCAGAAGGCAGTGGAGAAGATGAGCCAGGAAGTGACCCCCGTGAAACCACCCAGAAAAGTGTCAAAGGCCAGCCCTGCCCAAAAAGTCTTTTTACCTTCAGTCTTGTGAACTCCTATGGGACAGCTGACATAAATTCACTTCCAACTGATGGAAAACTACTTAAACTCAACTGTAAGTACTTTTTCTAACCTTCCAAGCTGGGTTTTAAAGACAGAGGATCCATCTGAAAATCCTGCACTCCACACTCACTGCATTAGGGTTTCTCACAGTCTTGATATGGCTCCAGAAAGCAAATAGTTATATGATCTTTGGCTGAGGCTCTCTAAAGACTTGTTTTAGAGACACCCCCCCATTAGGCTTTTCTTCTCAGTCCTTGATGACCTCAGAGGGAAGCAGATGTCCTTCTACTCTGTCCACTCTGCAGATCTTTGCTCTGGGTTGAAGTCCTGTGGCTGTCTGTTGGTAGCAGCATTTTCCCAAACTTGTTCACTTTTAAGAGTAAATTGCATGTTTTTTTCTATAAAAATACTCATGAACTGTGACCTATCCATCCAGTGAATGGTCATAGAGTTTGTAGACTGTCATGTGGACCCTGTAATGGGCACTGCTGTACCGATAGGAACAGGTGTCCACTGGAGTGTGGTGTGCGTTGTGTGCATAAAGAAGGATTGGCCAGTCAGGACCCCTATAAAAGGTGAGAGTCAGGGAACTTACTGAAGTATCTTTGTGTCTTTCTGCTCCTTTCTAGTTAACTAGAGAACCTCCCTAGTTAACTAGATGTCTTTGTGTTTGCTTGTGTTTGCTTTTTTATTGTTATTGTTAATACCTGATTTTTATTTATTCATTTATTTTTTGGAGATAAGGTCTCACTCTGTTGATCAGACTGGAGTGCAGTGGTGTCTTCATAGTTCTCTGTAGCCTTGCACTCCTGGGCTCAAGTGATACTCCTGCCTCAGCCTCCTGAATAGCTGGGACTATAGGCTTTCATCACCATGCCTGGCTAATTTTTCTGTTTTTGTAGAGATGTTGTCTGACAGTGCTGAGTCTCCGTACCTGGCTAGTTTTCTTTTTTTTTTTGGAGATAGTTTCATTATGTCAGTAGAGTGCTGTGCTGTCACAGCTCACAGCAACCTCAAACTTGGGTTTAAGCGATTCTCTTGCCTCAACCTCCCAAGTAACTGGGACTGCAGGCTCCTGGCTATTTTTTTGTTGTAGTTGTCATTGTTTTTTGTTTTTTTTGTTTTTTTTTTGAGACGGAGCCTCAAGCTATCCCCCTGGGTAGAGTGCCATGGCCTCACAGCTCACAGCAACCTCCAACTCCTGGGCTCAAGC